CTTTCTTACGTTGAAAGATATTTAGACCAATTTTTTGCATTTTGTGGAGACTCATTAGAACTACTATTCTGCGAAAAAAAATTGAAATTTGAGGCAATAGATTTTGAGGGGTGGGGCTCGAAAGTGGGGGGGAGGTCAAATCTTGTCCACTCGATAACTCAAGCGAAAATGAATATTTTGAGCTGAAATTTTTATGGGTGGTAGTTCTCCCAAAGGACTGGTTTGGTATTGAATTTGAGCTAAATCGGCCGAGCCGTTTAAAAATGGCGAGTTTTGAAAGTTTTAGGCGAGGGGTGCGCGGCATGAGGAAAGCCGGCCGGAGCAGGGCCGCACAGTGGGTCGGGGGAGAAAGTTTTTGGACAAGCTGATCGTCGCAAAGTGGGTCAGGGGGAAGAAGTTTTTGGACAAAATTTTCGTCGCACAGTGGGTCAGGGAGACGAAGTTTTTGGACAAAATTTTCGTCACACAGTGGGTCAGGGGGAGGAAGTTTTTGAACAAGCTTTTCGTCGCTCAGTGGTTCAGGGGAAGGAAGATTTTGGACAAACTGCGCGACGCACAGTGGGTCAGGTGAAGAAAGTTTTTGGACGAACTGTTTGTCGCACAGCGGCTCAAGGAAAGGAAATATCTGAAAAAAAACTAGCCATTACATAATGACGTTTACAGACGTACGATTTTATGACTACAAAAATCCCACGTCGGGAAATACACTTTCTTCCCGCGGTGGATACGCGGGACACTTAAAAAGAAGAAAAACTAGATGTGCAGACGACCCTGAAAAGACGCGCGCGAAGCGTGCGTCCTGGGGGGGCTTGGGCGCGAAGCGAAGCGGAGCGCCGGTTTATTTTGTTTTATCCTTCCTTGAGACTAGTATCTCTCTACAAAAACCACCGTCAGTGCCTACAGATATTTGTATGTAAGTAATAAAAATGAGGGAGTTTTTATAATAATTTGACAGCTTTCAAGGAATAGACTGATTTAGTAGCTACGTCTTGGTTTAAATGTAAACAAACGCATAACCTCAATTCTGATTAGTGCCCTTCACGCCAAGGTGGTGAAATACATCCAAGTGTTTCTTATAGTCAAAATTTTTCGTGTTTAATGAGTCCTGAATTGATTTACGACTGCTCAATGACTAAATTGTAATACATTAACACAATCGACTCTGGAAGAATTTGCACATGAGGTATGTTAGTTGGTTTTGATTTGAACCAAGAAAGTGATATTATATCAACTGATGTAGTCACTTTATCAGTCTATTGGTTTTTCAGATTTGTTTTTCACAGATTGAAAAAAATTACACAGTCGGAGTATTTAATATTGATTGAAATACAAATTGCACAGAATTTCACTTTTGCAAATGAGCTTAAGTGCGTATGGGGAGAGAAAAATAAGCATACCTGTTCGGAGCTTCTCCTTTAAAGTTTGCAACACAAAAATCACCGACATTGTAATTCATTCTCGAAACTTCTCTATTTGATAACATGTGTTTTTCTATATCATTGTGAAGTTTGACAAGACTGAAAATAAACATATAACAACATACTCCATGAAAAAATTAAGCAAGCAATGAGCTTCTTCAGTAATATCAATTCTTGAATTTTTCAAAAGTAGCAAGTGCACTTATATCACAAAATTTCTGGGCGAAAATATCAATCCATGAAAAATGAGTAATAGTAGTGGATTTTGAGCTCTCATTCCAACATGCATTATCTTGAGAACCAAGGTAACATCTGAAAGAAGGCATTAATAAAATAAATAATTTTGTTGAAATTTTATCTTTCTTAAAAAAAAGCAACTTTGAACTCTTTTTTTTCTTGCAGTTATAAAATTCTAAAATACCCACGAAAATTCCTGTGAACTTGGCGCATTCTCAATTTTTCTAAAATGCAAGAACTGAAAATTAATGAGCAATCTCATTCAGTAAATTGAAAATTAAGACTCAAATCTCATAACACTAGTTAAAAGGGGGAAAAAACAACAATAGTGTATTTTCTTTCGATGATGTTTGGATGATTGTTGTTGATGATGTTTCGAGGTGGCCCAAGACACATAAAGTTATACAAAGGACTGGCTCATATGTGGTAGAGATGATTTGAATTATTTCTTCCTAACTGTATAGAGTTGATTCTCGATGATACTGTTGACGAAATGATTTTGATAACAAAAGACACCAACAAAATTGGTATATAACAAATAAGAGAGGTGAGAGTAGACTTGACTAGCAGCTCAAATCATAAACGAATTGTACAAACAAATCAAGTCACCAAAATTCCTTTTACCATGTTGTGGATTTTGGGGAGATACGGTTTATTACAGTGCAACCCTTTTTTTTTGATCGATTTAAAAAATTAATCCTGCCCTAGGGAATGGGGATATGCAACCATCTTTCCAGCATCACCACAGCTCCTTATCAATATCGATATAACATCAGTACCACTACTAAACCACAGTATTCTTAGCCTTAACCCTTTCCGCTTAAATTTTTTTAAGGTCACCTGCCCCCAACTCTGATTTAATTTGGCCGAAATTAAAGGTTATTGGCAAAGAGGTGAGCAAACGAGCGATGGCTCCCCGGTGACACCTAGCGGTGAAATTTTGAACTCAGGTGACTCAAGTAGTTCCATGTAGTGTCACCAGAGAGCGCAGCACAGGTTTCCATGGCCATTATTTACATTGTTTCCGAGCATTGAGGGAGACGGAAACTTTGTCGAGCACAGCTCGACACCTGAGCGGAACCCCTGAATCAATTTTGTCGAGTCCTGCTCGACACCTGAGTGGAAAGGGTTAATTGATGCAAACAATAGGGTTTTTCTTTTAATGATCAGCTGAGGTACCGATGGAGATCCATCGGCTGCCATTTTGACCATCGATGGCCTCCGATCGGTCGGTAGTTTGAGAACGCTTCTCCTTTTACCGATGGATACAATTGTAAATAAAAGCAAATTCCTAGACTCCAAAAACAAATCCAACCAATCACTAGGAGACGAGATTTGTAGGTTAACTGATCCACCAATGGAACATGTACCAGAGAAATGACCGTCACCTCCGAACAGTGATCGGTGGTCCTAAATCCATCGGCCGATCAACCAATAGTTGTGACATCAGAGCCGACCGATCAGTTTAAGGACGCATTTTAGTGATCGACGGTACCACCAATCAATAAAAGAAAAGTCCTACTATTTCATCTAGCATACAAACCACGAGTTGATTAGAAAACAACTGATTATTTTGTGGGTTTCGATTCAATAATACTCACCTCTCATTGAACTTGACTAGTTGAACGAAAACCATGTCTGGACCATTGTTATGCGTAATATACACCTTCAGATGACAAGATTGTGATTTTTTTTCTCCGTCAAGGGGTAAGTGAGCCCATTGCGGTTTTATCTCTTCCACATGAACCAGTCTCTTCTCATCATTTGCTAAAATGATACCACATCAGTAAAATTGAGAAAATTAAAAAAACTTGAGTTCAGTTACTTTAAACCAGGTTCACTGAGCTTAAGTTTGACCTTGATTATGCTGACAAGCTGCATGATACAGTTCTATTATAAATTAGAATTTTTATTCAAGTGCCTATTGAATTCAAATTTAAAAAGATACAAGTTCTCCAAGTGCAACGCTCGTTCATTTTGATACCATTTCCTTTATAATTTAAAGAATTATGATCTTTTAGGATAAGATGATTGCTTTTACTTTTTGGCTCCCTAGGAGGGCCGAGCAGGGATTTAGAGCTGAGGTTTGAGGGAGCATCATAAACGGAGCCGCATCGGCGCGCAAGGCGGAGGCCCGGCGCGGACTTTCATGCCGCGTCGAACAGTGCGCCGGGGGAGCGCATTTGCCGTTGAGGCGGCTTAACCTGGTGAAGCCGACACCCGGCTGATTTTCTGATGCTGCATCAGTTTTGATGCTGAGTCCAGCATTAAAATTGAGGCGGCTTCAATTAGCAGACACGTCGGACGCCAGCGCCCCGGGCTCGGTTGCCGGTCGGCTAATTGCACCGGGCTGTGTTTTCAACCCTTCCTCGGCGTCCACTTCTTAGAACTTCTCGGCGAGGCGTGGGCCGCCGCCAAGACAAAGGGGTGTTCCGCGAATTCATCGCCAAGTCCGAGGGTCGCGGTCTTCTGGGACAGCCCCGTCGGTAATTAAGCTGGGTGGCGGGTCCGAAAATTGAGGCCGTATCGGGCCGCACGCCGAGGGTCCGGCCTCAGAAGTTGAAGCCCATGTTGGTCCCTGAGCCAGCATCAAACCTCAGCATCAGCGCTTAATGCTGGCTCGGTCGGCACTCCAGCATCGGGCTTCAATGCCCGAAGCCGGCGCCGGCAGGTTGCGCGCATAAGGCGCGGCGCCGCATGCCCGCACGGCCGCTACCTGGGCATACGGCATTAATGCTGAAGCTACGAGTCGATGCTGTACAGCATGACCTCATGAGGCGCCTCAAATGCCTAGGGCCGAGAACTGTTAGGCGCATCACTTGCCGCTCCTGCTGCTGAGACTGTACTTTTCACGCTTGTTTTTTTCTCATCATCTTCTAGTAAAACAAGCTTGTTAATTTAGTATTTGACAATTATTTTCCTGCTTTAGATTTTGTATGAATGTGAATGTGCATGCCGCCCAACCACCCCCCCCCCTTTTCTCCCGCATACCCCTTTCTCTCTCCACCTCTGATCCCTTGTATCCATGCGAGTGTACCGCTAGCATGCTAGGCTAGATTTTTGGTATATGTGAGTGAGATGGCGCCAGGTCCCGCCCGCAACATCGAAGGCATGCCGCTTCAGCACCGCATGGCTGTACCAGATTGAGGACTTCGGTGAGTGCTTATATTTCCATTTTTTCTATGTGCATTTTCTCTCTATTATGTAGATTTATCCCCAATATGCTCTCTTTATGGACTGGTCGCTATGAGCTCAACAAGTTTTACTTATATGCTATAAATGATAGCCGGGAGCTCGTTGTTCCGAAGTTGCCAGATCGCTCTGCTTTACTCTTCCTTCCTCTGTCCTATTTTCTTCCCTTTTTTGGCTCTGCTAGCTATTGGAGTCCGTAACAAATGGTTATACCATTTGAAGAAGTCTTGAGAAGCAGTTAGCAGGGTAGCAGTAAAAGCGGTAAAATTAGGTTGTAAGAGGGTGGATAAAAGCAATGAATTAAGCGATTGAGCGAAGTTACTTCTAAAAGCGGTAAGTTGAGAAAAAATAAGAAAAGGATTAAGAAAAGGAAAAGAAAGAAAAAAGTCTTCCTAGGTATAGCGTATGTTTAGCGATGCAAATTCCTTAGGAAGGGCATGAATGGCATTGTTGGCGACTCCAATAGCTAATAGAGCAAAAAAAGGGAAGTAAACAGGGCAGAGGAAGGAAGAGTAGAGCAGAGCGATCTGGCAACCTCGGAACGACGAGCGTCGGACTATCTGACATAGCATATAAGTGAAACCCATCGAACTTGAAGCGACCCGTCCATAAAGAGAGAAAATGGGGATAAATCTACAATATGCAAACTGTCCAATAAATGAATAAAAATAAAATAAAAAAAAAATACTTTATTTTGGGAGGTTGTGCTGACTATGCCACAGGAAAATCGACTTTGGAAGTGAAAACTTGCTTAATACAATAATCGTTTTAGTGGCATTAGTTGTTTTTTTTCTTTTTCATCATGTATTACAGATTAAAAAACCCAACACAAATATGACCTCCTAAAGCACTTTCATGGTGAGTTTAAAGGGTGATCAGTTGTTCCACTCATGTAATTTTATTTTATTTTATCAGCGTTGCATATACACTTGGTTTCTAAGATACTTAGTTTTACGTCATCTGAATGAATTGGGAAAATAATTGGCAAAAATGAAGTTGGAAACTTACGAAGATTATAGATAGGTATTGGAAGTTTGGCATTCTTGCACAGTTCGTACAGATTAGGCAAATGTGAAGCATTCTTCACAGCGAAGTTACTATCTAATAATTCGTTTTTGATAGAGAACTTTACTATGTAAGTTTTGGTATTTTCAAGGTACTGCTGGCAATCAAACGGATTGAGCCATAAACTAGAGTTTAAGGCTAATAAAATCTGAAATTAGAAGTACAACAATGTAAAAACTAGAAAATTATCTCATTAATGCTCTTCTAAATGATGGACGAGCAAGCTGTTTGGACGCATTGATTATTTTAATTTGAAAGAGCAGGAACACTGAATACAATAACTGCAAAGAAAATACTCTATGGTAGGGGACAAACAGTAGAGGGGACATTAAACAAGTGAAAAGTAGATTGGTTCCGATTGATGGATGGAATTACGGCATTGGGTGCAGAAGGAGTACTTCTCAGTTTCAGTATCTTTACTGCACCTTCATATTTACAGGGGAAAACAATTAGGTGAATTTTCTGCAATTTTTTATTTAGAGCATTGTATAGTCATAAAGAGTATTAAGTAAAAGTTCCAACGAATTACACATATTTGGTTTGATCATAATATATGAAACGTCAGGAAAGATGCTAAGACAATATAATCGAAAAGTGGCAATTCTGACCCAATGCTTCTCAATTAAAGGAAGGACAGAGGTGAGATTCATCCTCAGCTGCCACCTCCAATGCATTGCAGGCATCTTGCCAAATACACTCCACAATCCGTTTCCTCTCCCTGTACACCTGGGTCATTCCACGTCAACGCAACCAAGGTCGGAACCCGACCCCCTCCGATTTGGCTGAAAATTGGTATACGGGGTCTTTACATCATTATAAGAAACTAATTTGAAGGATTTTCCCATCCGACGCCCCATTCGCGAGATATCGACCCCCAAAGATGGGGTGAATTTTAGCGATATTCAAAAAAGCCCGTTTTAGCGATTCTCATTTTCTCGACTTCCCTCTCTTTGACTCTTCATAGCGAGACTCTGTATCAATCCATCATACTTTGAAAGAGTGTTCCTAGAATAATTTTTCATGTAGATTCTAAATATGCCATCGAAATTAAGCTGAAAATTATTTAAATGGCCGTATTTTAGAGTTTTTTAAAATTTACGATTTTTTTGCCATTCAATATTCAAACTCAGTTATCTAAAAAACAGTCACTCCGATTTTCGATTTTTTTTTTATACTTCAAGCGTAGGATATATACTTTTGATTGATATACTTTTTTTAAATGTTTTCGGACGGTTAAGGGCCTAAAAAAATTCAAATAGGCCAAAGAAGGTCAAAAATTGGTAAAAAAAGACGATTTTTTACATTTTAATCCAAATATTTCGATAATGAACACTTCAATTAACGATGTTTTCCCCCAGTTCACCCTCTAAGATGTATAAAATCAGACTATCGACGCTTTCCATACATTTACCGATCGATTAACGGCCTGATGGAAACCGGAAACCGACCGAAAATCCTCGAAATTGACGCAAAAAGACGATTTTTCACACCGTAACCGATGCTTTCCATAGATTGTAACTGCAATTTCCAATTTTCTCTCTCTATTTCAACCTTAAGGTATATACTTTCGAGTAATAAACACTTACTAACGTGCATCGATGGGGCACGGATCTATACGGAAATAAAAACCGGCCGGAAATGCTCAAAAATGACGGGAAAAGGCGATTTGTTGCATAGTCAGGGGAGCATGTGTTCGAAAATTACGTCCCGTTTGCACGTTTGTGATGCAAGTTTACTCCTTCATTTTGGTCCCTAGAATGAGAAAATCTTTGGTGGACTATCCGCTTTTGATGCCAAGGCCCCAAAAACAAGATGGCGGCCAAAATGGAGGCTGAAATTGAAATGTTGGTGAAACGGCACAAAACGTCAAGAGAGGTGTCGATCCTCATGTTTTTTGAGTCGTAGATTCCAAAAAAATTGTCATACAGACCCCTCGACCCACGGAAATGACCAAAATCCAAGATGGCGTCCGATTTTGGCTCTTTAGTGGCTAAAACGTCAAATGAGGAGGAAAGAGAGGAGTAAACACTCCAGATATCTGTTTTCGAGGTCACCGATTCCAAAAAAATAGAAGAAAAAAACAGCTCATGCCAAATGGTACTGATTTGGACCATGCAAAGGCAGTCGAACTCGGCAGTCATTCTGATTAGAGTGTTCAGAAACACTCTATAATCGGGACCTCTCGACCCACGGAAATGCACAAAATCCAAGATGGCGGCGATTTTGGCTCCTGAATGGTTAAAACGTCAAATGCGGAGCAAAGTTCCCGATCCTCGAAAAGCCTTTCAGGGAGTTCACTAACCCACATTCCTTCTAAAACCCTATGTCGCTACCCTTACACTGGGCACCCACTTCGTCTCCTCCCGGAGGGAATACCTGATCAAGCATCTTCTTTGGCAGACCTTCGTCCGTCATTCTATTAACATGGCCATACCAGTCAAGCTGTCTGATCATGTCGTCGAATACGATGTCATTTTCGACTCCCATGATCTGCTGCACTCTTTCATTGCGAACCCGATCGTTCCTAAAAATTCCTACAGCCACCTCCTCCAGAAATCTATCTTCGTAGCTCTCAGCATCCCTTGGGTCCGTTCCTTCAGCTGCCAAACTTCACTGTCATATGTAAGAATATTTTTGACTTCAACTTTGTGAATTTTTCTCTTGTTCTCTTTGGAAATCCGCGAATCCTAGAGGATTCCATTGAACATCGCTGTGGCCTTCTTTGCTTGGATGTTTCTTTCCTTGATCCCTTGATCCGTTCTTCCATCCTGGATCAACCGCACCCCCTCCCCTCCCCCCCAAGTACCTATAGTGCGCGCAGCCTTTGATCTGCTGCCCATCCTCCAACTCAGTGCTTTGCTGATCACCTCCCTTTGTCAGTTTCTCGGATTTGCTGATGACCAAGTGGTGATTGCACAAGATCAAGATGACGCCTAGTACATGAAGCGCAAGTTGGTAGCGAAGTACCGAAAGTCGAGTGTAGAAGTCAGCAAATCCAAATAATTACTATATAATAATCCTCCGGACGAGATAAGGTGATTCCTTCGTATTATGAGGCGCTGAATCCGGAAATTTCCTCCGTTCCTTCTCTTCACCCTGCAATGGGCCTGTTTGAAACTTTTGCTAGAGCAAAATTAAGAGTTTTTTCTTATAGATAATATGTCACAAAAATCACGATAAGCCCTTTCGCAAAGTCTGAAATATACTCCTCACTTCACAATTAGCGTAAGAAATTTCCGTTTTTTTAAGCTGCCCGCCTCAAAAACGATACCACGGCACAGGTGAACATTTCGTTAGAGGAGTCGTTCCGTTCAATCCCTCCTCAACATGGCAGACGCTTCCGCGCGCAATTTGAGGAGAGCATGAGGTCAATCACGGCGGACATCTGTCAACGCGAGAAAAATGTGAATGTAAACACGCCGATTGTTATCAAGTGGCTAGAATCATCGTCCCATCTCAAGCGTTTTGGTGGATTGGCGTCAGCTATGTTGAATATTGCGTAGTATCCTTGTAAGCAGGGGTAGGATGGAATATGACTCCTCTAACGAAACGTTCACCTGTGCCGTGGTATCGTTTTTGAGGCGGGAAGCTAAAAAAAACGCAAATTTCTCATGCAAATTGTAAAGTAAGGAGTACATTTTAGACTTTGCATCCGCTCATCGTGATTTTTGAGACGTTTCTATACTACTTACCAACTCTTATTTTTGATCCAGCAAAAGTTTGCAACAGGCCGATTTTCTGGAAAAGTCGATTCCGCCCGGAAAAATTGTCATTATCCTGGTCAGTTTTCTGAAAGACTGAGGGGTGGTCGGGAATTATAAACACAATTTTCAGATTCAGTGGCTCAAAACACACTTGCTGGGTCTTTGCTCCGCATTTGACGTTTTAACCATTCAGGAGCCAAAATCGCCGCCATCTTGGATTTTGTGCATTTCCGTGGGTCGAGAGGTCCCGATTATAGAGTGTTTCTGAACACTCTAATCAGAATGACTGCCGAGTTCGACTGCCTTTGCATGGTCCAAATCAGTACCATTTGGCATGAGCTGTTTTTTTCTTCTATTTTTTTGGAATCGGTGACCTCGAAAACAGATATCTGGAGTGTTTACTCCTCTCTTTCCTCCTCATTTGACGTTTTAGCCACTAAAGAGCCAAAATCGGACGCCATCTTGGATTTTGGTCATTTCCGTGGGTCGAGGGGTCTGTATGACAATTTTTTTGGAATCTACGACTCAAAAAACATGAGGATCGACACCTCTCTTGACGTTTTGTGCCGTTTCACCAACATTTCAATTTCAGCCTCCATTTTGGCCGCCATCTTGTTTTTGGGGCCTTGGCATCAAAAGCGGATAGTCCACCAAAGATTTTCTCATTCTAGGGACCAAAATGAAGGAGTAAACTTGCATCACAAACGTGCAAACGGGACGTAATTTTCGAACACATGCTCCCCTGACTATGCAACAAATCGCCTTTTCCCGTCATTTTTGAGCATTTCCGGCCGGTTTTTATTTCCGTATAGATCCGTGCCCCATCGATGCACGTTAGTAAGTGTTTATTACTCGAAAGTATATACCTTAAGGTTGAAATAGAGAGAGAAAATTGGAAATTGCAGTTACAATCTATGGAAAGCATCGGTTACGGTGTGAAAAATCGTCTTTTTGCGTCAATTTCGAGGATTTTCGGTCGGTTTCCGGTTTCCATCAGGCCGTTAATCGATCGGTAAATGTATGGAAAGCGTCGATAGTCTGATTTTATACATCTTAGAGGGTGAACTGGGGGAAAACATCGTTAATTGAAGTGTTCATTATCGAAATATTTGGATTAAAATGTAAAAAATCGTCTTTTTTTACCAATTTTTGACCTTCTTTGGCCTATTTGAATTTTTTTAGGCCCTTAACCGTCCGAAAACATTTAAAAAAAGTATATCAATCAAAAGTATATATCCTACGCTTGAAGTATAAAAAAAAAATCGAAAATCGGAGTGACTGTTTTTTAGATAACTGAGTTTGAATATTGAATGGCAAAAAAATCGTAAATTTTAAAAAACTCTAAAATACGGCCATTTAAATAATTTTCAGCTTAATTTCGATGGCATATTTAGAATCTACATGAAAAATTATTCTAGGAACACTCTTTCAAAGTATGATGGATTGATACAGAGTCTCGCTATGAAGAGTCAAAGAGAGGGAAGTCGAGAAAATGAGAATCGCTAAAACGGGCTTTTTTGAATATCGCTAAAATTCACCCCATCTTTGGGGGTCGATATCTCGCGAATGGGGCGTCGGATGGGAAAATCCTTCAAATTAGTTTCTTATAATGATGTAAAGACCCCGTATACCAATTTTCAGCCAAATCGGAGGGGGTCGGGTTCCGACCTTGGTTGCGTTGACGTGGAATGACCCACCTGTCAGTCAGTAGCACAAACAAGGCAGTTAGCTCAAGGCTATTTTCCCGCAGCTCGAAGCAGACTGTCTACAGGGATATACATGAGCACACAATGCCTGTTTGATTCTATCTTGGTTGGTTTACAAATTCCGTAGAATGAACCTTCTTTGTAACTGGTTACTATCCGAAGGGTGAACTTCCATTTACTGTATTAATTGATTTCATTATTGGATATGAATATTTGAACCATTAATCTGAAGGATAGCAACCACAAAAACAATCATTCATAGCATTCTTCTGCTAATAATTTCCTCTTCTTTCTTCTCATGTTGACTGGTGTTGGCTGTCGGTAAGAAAAATGTTGTTCTTTTTAAAGGTGTCATTTCTGTCCCTGAACTCTTTACGTTAAAATGGTGCCGAACCATACTTCAACTGTACTTACATCATAATATCACTTCTACTTTCTGAACAAATCTGCAATCAACCTGGAGTTCTGGGACCCAAAAAGCTCAAGATACCAACTTCTAATGACTCTAAACAAAATTAAGACAATATATAAAGTTTCCTCGCACAAAAGGTTTTTTTGAGTCAGACGATGCAGCAGGAAAGCAACCGTTCTTTGGTGCAAAGCTCTTTCTGCCACACACATGTTGTTAAAAGCTTTGCTTGATGCATGTCTTGATACCACTTTTTATTCCTAGCATTATTGCATAGAGGTTACATCGGTACGTTTCACAAGTTTTCTGCTAAAATCAGATGTTTTTCATAAACTGGCTAAAGCAATTGTGACAACATTACAACAAACATACAACTTACAACAAACATTAGTTTAAGTCCAGACTTGAATTAAGGATGTTATTTTGAAGAAAAATACACTAGTGGTATTCCGATACTGAAGGAATCGTCAAAAATAATCAATATATCAAAAAAGTTGGTATCTCAAAGGTCCTTGTATGAAAGTTCAACTATAGATTAAAAAAAAAAAGAGAAAAAAAAACATTAAGAAGAAAAACTTGCCTTGCCCTTGAAGAAATAGCCATTCATCTCTGGTTTCTGGCATTTTGCTATTCCTTGTTGAATATAAGATGAGGCATAATAATTCCATGAGTAATCTAAATCTACTGGTTTCAAACCGCAAAGGTACACAGTGATAGCATACGGAGGATCTTCTTGGAAACAGGTGGGACAATACAGAAGATTCGGCCCCTATAACAAAAAACACAAATGCTCGTCATCGTAGAATTATCAAGAACATTCATGAAATGAGAATTGCAGTATTATAGCCCCAAATAGCTTTAGTGAATGCACCCCCAGCTTTTCACACTTACTAGCATGCTGTTAATGTAATATATTTTTCAATTAAAATCTGTAATATGAACACAGTACAGAAACAAAGTATTTTGTCAACCTTCTAATACTGACCAAATGCGTGTCTCTGAATCGCTGCACATATCTGATCAAAATGCAATTATTGAACTCGCAAAGAATGAACATGACAACTTTGAAAAAAATGTAAGTTACATGAAAAAAAGTCAATTTGTTTTTGCTTTCAGTCGCTCTCCGAACAAAACAGCAGGAAACTCAGGTCAAATATGTAGAAGTATTACAATGGAATAGAAAGACAGACAGAGTTGAAAGTTTGGTTGGCTTTGATTGTGCCTCTGGGTAGTCGGCTATACGTTTAACAAAAGCTCTTATCTTCGAGGTCCGGTGCTGTAAGGGTTTCTAATTTATTTCAATTTTCAAATTCTCTGTATTTTCCATGATTGTTGCAGAGGTGTAACTCACAATGTATTACTCTCCTGAGGTTCTGATAGCTGCTACTGAAGTAGACCTTTTGAATTTCGTCTCTAACTTCACAACGCAATCCTAATCTAAAAAATATTGAGTTTATTTCTGTTCAAATAGACACACATTCCAAAACTATAATTCACAGTCACCTCATGAGATTTTAAGACTGCTTCGTGCAAACCAATATATATTATTTTTTCGATGTCTAGACAACTGTGATTGAGTCGGGCAAAATAGGACTTGCGGTGAAAAAAAGAAACAAGTAGCAAAAGCTACCTGCTGAAGGGGCTCCGCCCCCCCTTTCAAATTATTTATGTGAGACTTTCGGTATCATAGAAGTCGTGCAGCGACATGCCGGATGAAATGCAGCGATTGAGATTATTGAATCAGATGATGAGCTGATAAAAGCATTACTTAGTAATTCTGGAACATTTCTGACCGATTGTTTGGTTGCTTTAATTATCACTTTAATTTGCGAGATACAGTTCGTTTTCACCGGAGTCAGATGTAGTTAAATTTGCTTTCAACTGACTTAGTTTCTGATGGATTCAAACTCACTGACATTAGGTACCAGAGAGGAGAAAAATTAATGGAAGTACAGATGAACTAAATTTTACATGAATTTAGATTGATTAAAAATAAATAATTCGAAGAAGTGATAGAATAATTGATAATTGTTACCATACTAAATACTATATACTATACCTAGGAATTTTAAATAAAAGACCCATCACTAAAATAACCCATACATACTGGTGCCTGCTTTCGGCTCGATTCCGCCAAATGGAATTCTTTATCATCAAGTCACTTTTGAAAATTCACCGTTTAGTAGGCTGTAGGAACCAATCCATGTTGAAATCTTATGGACCCATACTAGCCTTTTGAGGCTAAATTTATTCAAGCGAAGCAGCATATACTTCATTCGCTTGTTTGCTACTTTCAGTCTTCCCTTTAGTGTTCAAAAATAGATGCCTGTGGCTAAATGTAATTTTTGATGATTCAAATACATAGGGTATCCCTAAAGTACCGGGACTGGTTCTGTAACTTCGAAAGTAAGATAGATACAGACATGATCTTGGTCTCATTTTAAAGATCAACTCAATACCTATCGATTAAAACCAAGATCAGCTCAATCGGATAAAAATTGACCGAGTTATGGCAATTTGAAATCAGTGAGGAAAGTTTACCCCTACGGTTTTTTAGGAAGATTTTTCGCTTACCAGGATTCAAAAAGGTAATATTCGTATCCGCTTTCCTCCGAATCTTCCATAACTTCCTTTTGCTTTTCTTCCATAACTTCCTTTTGCTTTTCAAAGTATCGTCTATCAAACCGGATGCACTTTTTCATGCGTTCTTGCCACATATCCAACATTGTTTTCCTGAATTCTTCCTCTGACATGGCGTTGAAAAAGTTCTGAACTGCATTCTGGATTTCGGTCTTCGATTCAAATTTTTGTCCGCGAAGCTCCTTTTTAAGCATAGGAAACATCCAAAAATCACATGGAGCCAAGTCAGGGCTATAAGGGGGATGAGGGATTGTTTCAACTCCATTTTTACTCATAAATTCACGAGTTAAGTTCGATGTGTGAGGCCGCGCATTGTCTTGATGGAGTAACAACGAAGCTTTCAAGTCCGGCCGTTTCCGGGAGATGTGCATTCTCAACTCCTTTAGCACTTTGCAATAATACGCACTGTCAACTGTTGTGTTTGGTGGTACAAAATGTTGATAAATGACACCTCGAAAATCAAAAAACACAATAAGCATCACTTTACAGGCCGATTTTTCGATTTACGGCGATGAAGAATCTTCATTAAAAACCGTAGGGGTAAACTTTCCTCACTGATTTCAAATTGCCATAACTCGGTCAATTTTTATCCGATTGAGCTGATCTTGGTCTTAATCGATAGGTATTGAGTTGATCTTTAAAATGACACCAAGATCATGTCTGTATCTATCTTACTTTCGAAGTTACAGAACCAGTCCCGGTACTTTAGGGATACCCTATGTATTTGAATCATCAAAAATTACATTTAGCCACAGGCATCTATTTTTGAACACTAAAGGGAAGACTGAAAGTAGCAAACAAGCGAATGAAGTATATGCTGCTTCGCTTGAATAAATTAAGCCTCAAAAGGCTAGTATGGGTCCATAAGATTTCAACATGGATTGGTTCCTACAGCCTACTAAACGGTGAATTTTCAAAAGTGACTTGATGATAAAGAATTCCATTTGGCGGAATCGAGCCGAAAGCAGGCACCAGTATGTATGGGTTATTTTAGTGATGGGTCTTTTATTTAAAATTCCTAGGTATAGTATATAGTATTTAGTATGGTAACAATTATCAATTATTCTATCACTTCTTCGGATTATTTATTTTTAATCAATCTAAATTCATGTAAAATTTAGTTCATCTGTACTTCCATTAATTTTTCTCCTCTCTGGTACCTAATGTCAATGAGTTTGAATCCATCAGAGACTAAGTCAGTCAAATGCAAATACAATTTTTCCGTTTTATACGTATGGCAAGCAGTGCAAATAAGTGCATTACAGACTGAAAACTAAAGTGGAAGAGACCACAATATGCACAACCGAGGTGGATGACATCATACGCCAAGTTTTTTGAAGGGCATTATCTCCTTCTATATTGGACACAGAGACTCAGCGTTTGAACAGAACTTACTAATTTGTGCTAATCTAAAAGCTTAAACTATCAAAACAGGATTCTCTGACTAGCACAACTGGCCCATCCTGAAGCAGTTGGCAAAAAGAACTTTCAAAAAATGATTCTTAGAGAGCATTTCAAGTTAAAGAATGATTAACAACAACTTGAGAAAAACGGAGTTTAAGTTCGCTGACAGTGTTGCCAGCCTTTGAAGAGAATCATATCAAACCCTTGTAACATTACATGTAATAAACTATTGGACCTCATGGTCTTCGGAGTGAGTATTTAAAACTTTTCACATTGAAAACTGAAAAATTTTCAGTACAACATTTTTCACATTACACTGAAAAATTTGGCCTTTCACCTACCTTAAATCCCATTTTGTCGGACTCTATCATAATTTTGAATTATGCTATTAATTTATCAGAAAAATCAATACGAGCTAGGAACTGTGGTTAGGAAAAACTAGAGAAAAACAGGCAGTAACTTTCAGTCTTAAACTCATTCTTAATCCTCTCAAATTTTCGGGCAATCTTGAGAAATTTTGGTATGATGATTGTAAAGAAGAAAAAAACCGGCGCGGAGCGAAGAGGCGCGCCGTTTTTTTTTTGGGGGGGGGGNNNCCCCCCCCCCCCCCCAAGCCCCCTCAAGACGCGCGCGCGCGTCTTTTCAGGGTCGTCTGCACATCTAGTTTTTCCTCTTATTAAGTGTCCCGCGCATCCACCGCGGGAAGGAAGTGTATTTCCCGAAAGGGGATTTTGTAGTCATAAAATCGTACGTCTGTAAGTCATAGTGTAATCGATAGTTTTCTTCCAAAAACTTCCTTCCCCTGAACCACTGAGCGACGAAAAGCTTCTTCAAAAACTTCTTCCCCCTGACCCACTAAGCGACGAAAATTGTGTCCAAAGACTTCCTCCCCCTGACCCACTGTGCGACGAAAATTTTGTCCAAAAACTTCTTCCCCCTGACCGACTGTGCGACGATCAGCTTGTCCAAAAACTTTCTCCCCCGACCCACTGTGCGCCCTGCTCCGGCCGGCTCCCCTCATGCCGCGCACCCCCCGCCTAAAACTTTCAAAGCTCGCCATTTTTAAACGGCTCATCCGATTTAGCTCAAATTTCAATACTAAACCAGTCCTATGGGAGCACTATCACCCATAAAAATTTCAGCTCAAATATTCATTTTCGCTCGAGTTATGGAGTGGACAAGATTTAACCTCCCCCCACTTTCGAGCCCCACCCCTCAAAATCTATTGCCTCAAATTTCAATTTTTTTTCGCAGAATAGTACTTCTAATGAGTCTCCACTAAATGCAAAAATATTGGTCAAAATATCTTTCAACGCAAGAAAGATATAACTACTCAAAAATCGAAAAATCTTAAAAAGGCGGAAATACATACAGGGTGTACCAAAAGTCCGTCCCACCCCTGCTAACTTTTGAACGAATTGAGCTAGGGTAATGAAACTTTGGGAATGTTCCTATCTCAAAGAGGATCATCTTTTGGGGGAGTCAAAATTTTGGTCTCCCCTGAGGGGGGCGCGGGGGGCCCCCAACTTTTTTTTTCAAATGGCAATCCCTATCTTGTGATACCTCATTTGAAAGAACATAGAAAACTAAGAATTTTGGCGCAAACCGCAGATCAATATCTTAATTTTTGACCGAGTTATGATAGGTCAAAGGTCACATTTGACCTATTTTCAAAAAATCATAACTCCGGTTCAAATTATCGTAAAGAAAAAAATAAAACGGGAA